CACACACACACACACACACACACACACACACACACACACACACACACTGCTGCTCCCTTTGCTAAATTGCATTTTGCACCATTGGACATGGGCATTTGGACAAAATAAGATGCAGAATGCTGAAACCTAAAGGAGAGATTATAGAGCGACTAGGATGGGTATCTTGAGAGACTTGGGGGAATAGTAAAAAATGGTGATTGTTGAGGTTTTATGGGAAGATGGGCTGATTTGGGACAGAAATAGAGTACATGACAAGCTAGGAAAGTGCCCTATCTCCTAGAGAAAACTATGGCAGCTTCCTAAGTGGAAGTGATTTACAATGAGTCCCCCCTCCCCAATCACCTCTTGTTTCAAAACTGGAAGGGGAAAGGAGATTCAATGAAACTGATGCATTATTTTTCTTTACTTGGTGGATGACATGAAGATAGAATGGGAAGATGTTTGACAGTCCTGGGTTTCCAGGAGCAGTGTTTGGGTGGAAGAATTTGGGCTGCCTGTACAATCTAGGTTAACTAGTTACTACAGTAGGGATCCTTAATCCAGGGAAGCCACTGACTCTGGGTCCTCGCTGACAATGCAACTCCCAGAAATAGGGTGGGAGGGGAGGTGGAGATTGGGGCTGACAATAAGAGACAAAAGTAAGGAGAAAAGGCAGGGCCAAGAATCAAAATCACCAAGAAGCTATAACAACCATCAGGGACAAGAAATCAATCAGTAAAGCATGTCAGGCCCTATTAATTCCCTTCCCCCATTCTGCCTCAGGACTGGCTCATAGAGCTTCCTCTAAAAAGAACATTCTGACACGCCATGAATGTGGAGGAGAAACCATTCTACTAAACTTTTCATTGCTCATGGAAAAGGAAAGACACAGGAGAAATTGGAAGACCAGGGTGAAAAGGGGAAAATGAGAGGCAGAAAATTGAGTCTATGAGGGACTTGAGCAAAACTCTTCAGATTGCTCAACCTTCCATGTTGCTGAGATCTCCTAGGCTTTTCTGCTTCCAGTAGACAAGAATGGACTGCATGTGTATCTCAAAGGTGAATTGCCTTAGGCTAGGGAGCTAGGAGAAATAGTCAGAAGTTACAAGAAGTAGATTTTAACTCAATGTAAAGGAAAATTTCCTAAATACTAGAGCTGTTCCAGAGTGGAGTGGGCTGCCTTAGAAAATGATGTCCCCTCCCCATAACTGCAGGCTTCCCTTTCCACACCATGTTCTTCTCCCTTTCTCCCTCTCCTATTTCACCTTTCTTCATTCCCCTTTATTTCTCACCATTTTGGAGCTCTAGGATAGCTTACATTGACCCTTCACCTGCCTTTACCCCCATTACTCCTTAATACTCATGACTTCCAAAGAGGTCTTCCTTTTATTATTCCTAACCTTTAGATCTAAAGTGAATCCCTGGATTTAAAACAGAAAGATCTGGGTTGGAATCCTGGTGCCATTACTTACTAGCTATGAAACCTTTGGCAACTTTTTTAGCCTCTCAAGTCCTGAGTTTCCTTGTCTACAAAATGGAGTAGGACTAGAGATGATTTCTGATTTCCTTTTCAACTCTGATATTCTGTGATGCAATGATCCTGTGATTCTGTGTGAAACCCCAAGTGTCCTAACTTTAGAGCTAGAATGAGAGGAAAACCCACATCAAGTCCCCCAAATTCTCCTGATCACCAAACGCCTGAATCTAAGCAGAACAAAATGGAATTACTGTATCCCTTCCTTGACTTCCCCACACATACACATGTACACAAACTCCCTCAGCACCACTACTGAGAAAGATCAAATGCTAAGATCCCCTGAATGTGCCTTCCATAAAGTCCTCCCATTGCCTAATTCAGTAGAGAGAAAACCTTCCTCATAACAGAGAAGAGAGAATAAATTGGTTCCTTTTCTCATGTCTTTCCTAAGGGGAATATTAGAGAAGTTTCCAGATGGGACATAAATGAATGGGACATAAAAAGAGCTTGCAGCCTTCATTACTTTCATCTCTGAGACCATCTCTAGTATCTGGTCATCTGAAAACTCAAATTGAGGAAACCAGGATTTGTAGCTGCCGACTGCACAAATAAGCATAACCAGCAAAAGTCGACCTTGTTTGTCAAGTATCTCCCTCAACATCTTTCCTTCATCAGCAAAGGGAGGCTCCCTGGGTCAGCAATAGTCAGCTAAAACTAGAACAGCTTTACAAATGGCTTGGTGGGCTGATTTTCTTTAGCCTCTTTTGATGGCTACTGGTTTTTTCAGGGGCAAGGTGCCAACACAGTCAGGGGAAAGGATTTGACTACTAGTGGCTACCTGCTCTTGCTTTCCCCGCATCAATCTGAAAGCTGATTTTGTTTTTCCTTTTGGGAGAATTCCTGCTTACTTCCTTTATTTTCTACTGTTCTCAACTCCTTTACCTTAGCACATTCTTCTTGCTTGTCAATGTTCTCTTTTTTCTCTTCTCATAACCTTCCCTGTCTTCTTTACTCCATTCCCCCTTATGTCCCAATTCTACTTTCCTTAGCCCCCTGCTAATGTCCTCCACTTTACCTCTTCACTAAAAACCCTTCTCATAATCAGACTCCTTTATGGCCCCAAGCCCTTTCTAAATCTTTCTGCCCAAGTTCTAAATCCCTTAATATTGATCCTCTTCCCCCAAGATAATGCCGCCCAACTACCCCTTATCCTTTGCCAACTACAGAATCAACCTTACGCCTTCAACCCAACCATCTCTCAATACCCTTAAACCACTGATGACTCTACCATTTCGCCTTTCATTCTCATCTCAACTTAATATAACACTAATAGCTACATTTCTTTCAAACACTAACATCTTTCTTCTTCACCCCAAATCCCCTTGAGACACTCCTACCTATTTCAACCACCAAACACCCATCTTTCCCCCTTCACTTCAAATTTCTCTTGGGTCTACAGCTTCCCCTTGCTAAGCTCCCCGTTTTCTTCACTGCCCCCCCAGTTTTTTCCTTTGACTCTCCTTTATTATACTGTCCCCCTCCCCAGTGACCCTGGTCCCCTCTTCTCCACTCACTCAGGTCTCCTGCCTAGGACGCCCTTGCCGAGGGCGGCAGGGGATTTGTGGGGGAGGAGGGTTCCAGCAGCAGCGCAACAAGGGGGGCGCTCCTTCTCCTTATCGGCAGCGGCTCCGGAGACCGCGGTATGCTGATGGGGTGTTTGGGGTGTTAAAGCTCTGCTGGGGCCCGGCTGGGGCTGTGTTGCGAGCTGTCCGTGGTGCTGAGTTAGCTGCAGCAGCGGGGACGGTGGTTGCTGCGGCGGCGCAGCCACTGCCAGCGGTGGCTGTGGGGCGATGGTAGGGAGCTGTCCCTGGTTCTGGGGAGGCTCTGGGGAACTGGCCGCAGCAGAAGCCTGGGAAGCCTGGAGCGGGGCTTGCGACTGGGGGACCAGCCCAGGCGGAGGATGGTTTTGCAGAAGCTGCTGCTGTTCCCACAGGCTGCGGTTCTCAGCACTCAACTCGTCCAGCCGCTTTTCCAGTTCGTCTATACGCTGGCGCTGGGTGTGGATGAGGCTTTGCTGGTTCTGCACGATGGCCGTGAGCTCTTTCAGATAGAGGACAGCACGCACCGGGTTCTCCAACAGGCTCTCCATGCCGGCCCGCCACCGCCTGCGCCCAGCCTGCGCCTCAGTGGCGGTGGAGAGCGAAGGAGTGCGGGGAGCGGAGGAGCCCGGGTAGAATGCGCCCCTCCCCTCCCTGTCCTTCCTCCCTCCCCATCACTGCCGCGTCATGGACACACACGCGCGCGCGCGCTCGCGCATACACACACACACACACACACACACACACACACACACACACACACACA